AAGCTCAGAGAATCAATAATACAGACACTAAGTTTTCTGTATGAAGATGATTGATTCTGTATTGGTGCTTCAGCACAGCATAGTTATGCATTTCAAAGAAAGAAGGCTTTATGGCAACAAACATAAATCACTAGTTTCACATGACAATTTGGTGGTTACTCATTGGACATTCAGGCGTTGTTTTCCATTTTTTGTCAACAAAACTGCATCCAGTTAGCACATTCCTTTCTTAACACGCCAGATGAGCACGTAGGCTACCTTCTAAACTAGCAGTGGTACAAAATGGAGCAACTATTGCTAATACCTAAATCAATGTTTTCACAATCCACGCTTTTGTTCATACACAGACTTCATGCTGGAGTATTTCTAATACTGCTAATCAATATTGTGGGACTTTACTTTATTTCTTTACCTCTGTTCCCCCAGCACCCTTCAGTATATGAACATGACGAAATCTGAGTATGAGCAGGTATGGGGGTTCCATTGATATTCCTTTGTATCCCGCAAAACATAGAACAATAAGCTGTAATGAGTATGACAAATAGTAGCAATAGTGGGTGTAGGGTTATTTTGAATACTCTTTTGGCTGATGGTGACCTTCCTGTAAAGATATCATACTAGTGGTGTCCCGTGTCAGCTTTCAATATCTGCCCAATGTGTACGAGCTTTCTTGATACTATAATGGCCTGTTCTTCTACTTCATGCAAGGACATATTGACAAAATCTAAGAGATGACTCAGTAATTAAGTGTTGTTCATTATATCGATCAGTTTCTGAAGAGACGGTAGCCACTTCTAGGGCCTTAGGATTCCAAATTCTCGTAATCATGGTTTCTGCTTCAGGGATGAAAGTAATAGTTTTATTATACCACTGGATCATAGTCACATTTTGCAAACATCCTTCAAAGGGGGTTCTTAAATTATACATTCTTGTAATGTTAACCTGTGATGGTATAAGGCAAATGTATGCAAATATACAATGCTCTTAATTCCATATACATTCCCATGTCTCCTTTTGCAACAGTCCATTCACATATGCTTGTGGAGTGTCTAAGCATGCAAGGTTCTTCTATACTAAAATGTTTGTCCACAAACTAGGCCGTCAGTGGTCTGTATGCAATTAGTACTGTGATGGGTATCATTATTAGCATTAATCAGGTCTCCTTCAAATTTAGGGGTCCAGTACCGGATATCGTATAGCAGTGGTCCAAATATTACAGGCAAAACTATGAATCTGCACATCATATCACTTTACATCATATACAGTAAACTCTCCCGCACATTCAGGATAATTACAACTCTGTCTTTATGGATTTACTTGGATCCAACCATTGCGTGGTAACTTTTCCTAGAATATGGCTCTGATCGTGCTAGTTTTTAAATGTACTAGATTAGTCTGGTCTGTGGCCCTTTTGTTGTACTATTTATGTATATATATATATATAAAACACTGTAAGCTACAGCTAGTATAACTCAGGGAGGTAGTGATATTTGTAAATCTTTGCAAGGTTTCAATTATACTCATATTAACCCTTTAGGAACTGGACTGTTTTGGTAATGTTGTACGTTAAGGACCAGGGCTGTTTTAACATTTAGGTATTTCTGGGAATATTATTCTATATCTGACTCTGGTGGCGCCTGCCTTGGTTGATACAATTTGACAGGTAGCCGGTAATCTGATCAGATTGTCAATAATGGCTTTTTTGTTTTGTTTCTAAATTAGTTATATTTTCGAACCATGTGTGTCTATTATTTATTACTGAATTATCAGTACATGCTAAGGTATACCGTCCAGACATGTTTACCATCATGCTGTTAGTTGCATTCTTGGGGTGATCCCCCAGGCACTGTAATAGTTGGGTAAATGTGGACCAACTCCTTTCTCCATAATCAAAATACTTCATACATGGCTCATTCATCCATCCACAAGAGATATTAAGATCTTGAGTCCATGTGATATTGATCTCAATCACATTTCTCACTTACAGTCGACCACGCTTGCCCTTATACCTTATTCCATTGTCTTTAGTAAAATATGCGATGGGACAAGGGGGGAGGGACATATTATTATTGGCATAGCAAGTATCCTGTGTCCTGTTGGTGTTTGCCCATCCCCATCTTACTACAGTATGATTTATGGCAGCCACTTATATTCCAGGGATTAGAGCTGGTGTATGTAATGTATATAACGCAATGAAAAAAGACATAAGCAGGGCTCGAGTCCTGCAGGAACGCATGGGAACGGCGTTCCTGCACTTTTTCCAAAGCAGGAACGCCGTTCCCGCTAGTGATCCTGCAGGACCGGCCCTGCTACCTGCACTGAGGGGCCATCACACGCTGTGTTCCCTCTCCAGCTATAACTCTCGCGAGACCCGCGGCTGTTTCCATGGCAACGCTCCGCACAGGCGAGTCTCGCGAGAGTTAAAGCTGGAGAGGGAACACTGCGTGTGATGGCTCCTCTGTGCAGCGGCTGGCTCCCTCCACCGGACCACCAGGCGATCTCCCCCCTCCCTGACAAGGTAAGAAGCAGGGAGGGGGGATAAATACAAATTATACATAAAGTAAAAAAATGCTTCCCCCCCCCCGCACTCACACACCCATCATCCAGCACTCACACACCCATCATCCAGCACACACACACACACGCACATCATCCAGCACTCACACACCCATCATCCAGCACACACACACCCATCATCCAGCACTCACACACCCATCATCCAGCACTCACACACCCATCATCCAGCACACACACACCCATCACTCACTCAAACACACATCATCCAGCACTCACACACACCCATCATCCAGCACTCACACACCCATCATCCATCACTCACTCAAACACACATCATCCAGCACTCACACACACACACATCATCCAGCACTCACACACACACACACACACATCATCCAGCACTCACACACACATCATTCAGCACACACACACACACACACACACACACATCATTCAGCGCGCACACACACGTCATCCAGCGCGCACACACACGTCATCCAGCGCGCACACACACCATCCAGCACTCACACACACATCATTCAGCACACACACACACACACACACATCATTCAGCACACACACACACATCATCCAGCACTCACACACACGTCATCCAGCACTCACACACACGTCATCCAGCGCGCACACACACGTCATCCAGCGCGCACACACACATCATCCAGCACACGCTGCATTCATTATACACACTCTTCACTCACTACAAACACACTACATTCACTATACACCCTCTGCATTCACTATACACACTCTGCATTCATTATACACATTCTGCACTCACTACACACTACATTCACTATACACACTCTGCATTCACTACAAACACACTACATACACTGCATTCATTGTACACACTCTGCACTCACTACAAACACACTAAATTCATTATACACAATTTGCATTTACTACAAACACACTACATTCATTATACACACTCTGCACTCACTACAAACACACTACATTCACTATACACACTCTGCATTCATTATACACACTCTGCACTCACTACAAAAACACTACATTCACTATACACACTGCACTCACTACAAACACACTACATTTATTATACACACTGCACTCACTACAAATACACTACATTTGTTATACACACTGCACTCACTACAAATACACTACATTCATTATACACACTGCACTCACTAAAAACACACTGCATTCATTATACACACTCCGCACTCACTAAAAACACACTGCATTCATTATACACACTCTGCACTCACTAAAACACACTGCATTCATTATACACACTCTGCACTCACTACAAATACACTACAATTATTATTCACACTGCACTCACTGCAAACACACTACATTTATTATTCATACTCTGCATTCACTACAAACACACTACCTTCATTATACACACCCTGCACTGCACTATATGCATAGGAGTGTAATTTAAAAAAAAAATTTTTTAAGGGGGTGGGGGGGGAGGCGGGAATCTTGGGTGAGTTCCCACACCTTTTTCCCCAGGACTTGACCCCTGGACATAAGTATTTGCAGTTTCATCCTACCTTGTCTTTCAATTCCTGATTAGGGATTGGCTTGCAATGACTAGCAGGTTTAATTTCCTTCCAGTTTTACAGATGTAGCTGTGGACAGTAAGATTTGGAAAGGACCGTCAAATCTGGGTTCCAAGCTTTTCCTCACATGTTTTGTTTATCACCACCCAATCTCCTGTTGTGGGTAGAAGTGTTACTTATTGGAATGAAATCAAACACTTGTTTATGGTATAGGATGTGGAACGCCTGACTAATTCATAGATAGGGAGGCACCGAAATGAAACTTCTGGGCCGAAACCGAAAATTCAGGATGCCCTTGGCCAAAAACCGAAAAATACTTTTTTCCCAAAATGATTTTTGAAAAGTTTTTAATAATTTTATTAATATTGAACTTTTTAATTATTTTAATTAATCTAATACGAAAAACGTCCCTTCTCTTTTAGTGGTCCCCCCCCCCCGCTTAATGTTCCTCTCTCTCCCCCCTCTAGTGTTCCTCTTCCCTCCATCTTTTTTAGTGTTCTTTCCTCCCTCATCTCTAGTCCCATAGTGTTCTTTCCCCGTCCTCCCCAGTCTCATAGTGTCCCCCCCACCCTGTCCCATAGTTTTCTTTTCTCCCCCCTTCCCTGTCCCATATTGGTCTTTTCTCCCCCTTCTGCCCTGTCCCATTGTTTTCTTTTCTCCCCTCCCCATCCCAGTGCTCTTTCCCCCCATCCCCTCCCTCATAGTGTTCTTCCCTCCCCTCCCTTGTCCGATAGTGTTCTTTACCCCCCTCCCTGTCCCATAATGTTTGTAGCGGAGGCCTGGTATTTCACAGGTTAACTCCACTAAGATCCCAGTGAGACTCAGGAACAAGTGATGTAAAATCCCATGAAGCAATAATTCCAATAAGCAAAGCAATCCAAGAATATGCCCATACAGATCCCAATGACTGAACGACACACAGCATCAGGAGCAGAACTAATGTTTATTCCACACAACCTCCTTTTAAGCATTTCTCCCATGCAAGGGAGGGATTCACATTCATTATTACAGTATCCAATGAAATAGCTCCCACACATCTCCTCCCCTTAGTATGACACCTAATCCCATTATACATGTTACAGTTTTCCCCAAGTTCTGGATGTACCCCAAGATTAGCAGGTACACCCATACCTTGAGTACCCCCTGGTAGCCCTGATCTGGTGACTAACATATCCAAAATTCACCCAGATCGGACCAGGGGTTCGGAAGTTAGGTGGAGGGTGAAATGTGACCGACTGCACACGAGGTGATATCAGAAATGGGTTCCATGCGTTTTGGCCCTGCGGTCGGTCTCCTTTCGGGAGGTAAAATACATTGAAATACCTGCCATCCACTATTAAACTGTCATTCGCCTGAATGCCCTCGTTTGGTACTCCAAACTCACCGAACGGGGGTTGATTCGAATTCCCGTTAGGGAGTTATGGAGCTCTGGAGGTGTCAGCGGTGTTCGGGTAATCGAGTGTCCGATGTGGGTTCCAGACACTCGACGACCAAACACCGCTGAGTCTTTTGTGCGTAAGATGGCCGACACCACGTGTTCGTGTGCCGAATGGCGGCCACCCAGATACAGCAATAAACCACCTACTAGTCTGCGGTTAACACATATTCGATACTTAATCGGGAACACACTTCACTCTGGGGAGGTCTATTAGTTCGGTAGTTTCCATTCGTATGAAATACCCATGGAAACTACCGAACAAACATACGAATATTAGTTACTGGGAATACAGAACATAATTAACACACGAATTGCAGGATTCTCATAGTCTTTGGAGGACAGCCACAGTGCCATCCGCTACAATGTTCTTTCCCCTCCCCGTCCCATAGTGTTCTCCCCCCCCCCCCGTCCCAAGTGCAGAATTCTTGACTTTTCCATTTATCCTTACTATCTTTTATTGTGATATATAATCATCTGAATTGTTAATGCAAGCATGTATTTTAAACTATGCACTACAAAAATAAAAAATTATATATATTTTTTAATTTCTACAAATGTGACGCGTTTTCGGCTGAAACAGGATAGGCCATTTTTGGCCAAATATTCCGGCAGCAGAAATTTTGGTACATCCCTTTTCCTAGGGCTTGCATAATTTCACCAGTAAAATTGCTACCTCTGTCACTTTCAATTACTTCAGGTACCCCGTATCTACATACCAATTCCTTCAGTAGCTTACTTGCTGCTGCCTTTGCTGTGGCCTTCGATACTGGGTATGCTTCAGGCCAACCTGAAAAGAGATCAATGCACACTAACACATATTCATACACTCCTATATTAGGCAGTTGAATATAGTCTATCTGCGATCCCTGAAACGGGTAAATTGGCCTTGTTTAGACAGGGTCTTAGTTACTTGACCCACATTGTTTTTTGCACAAATCATGCAGCGCTGGGTATGTTCTGTAGCAGCTACAGTAAAACCTGGAGCAATCCAATGTGCATTTACCAAGCTAATCATATTCATTTTTGATTCATGTGTGTGTCCATGGGCCACCTGGGCCATCATTGGGTATAAAGTCTTAGGAAAACACAGTTTCTCACCTTTTTCCCACATATTGGTTGTGTACACTGCTCCCAACTTCTATTAGTTCTGTTCTTCCTTGCTGGCCTGCATCTGGAGGCTTTGCAGTTTGTTATATAATACAGGTTGTGTCACAGTCAGAGTTTGTAAATAAATTATACCTGAAAGGTATGGGTTTTTTACCGGCATGTTTAGCTGCTTCATCAGCTCTGTCGTTTCCACGAGAAACATTGTCCGTTATCTTCACATGAGCTGCCACTTTGACAATTCCCACTTGCTTAGGTAACAGGATAGCATCCATTAGGGCACTCACGGCTTCTGAATTCTTGATAGGTGAACCTGCAGAAGTGAGAAAGTCTCTGGCCCTCCAAATGGGCCCAAAATCGTGTGCAATGCCAGAGGCGTAGCGGGAATCGCTATAAACATTAACAGTCTTACCAGAGGCCAATTTACACGCTTCATTGAGAGCCTTCAACTCAGCTTCCTGTGCAGAGTAGAGAGGAGCGAGTGGTTCTGCTTTAATTACCTTGTCTGCAGAGACCACAGCATATCCAGTATGGAAGTTACCCTTCTAATCAACAAACCAAGACCCATCTACAAAATACTCAAAATCTGGATTAGATAATGGCATATCAACAACATAGGAAAAACATGCAGTTTCTTGTGCCATCAAGGCAGCACAGTCACGAGGTACCTGGGCATCTGTTAATTCCTCATGGAGTGAGACTTTTTAAATAAGTCTGTACTACCTACATTACCCCCCTCTTTGAAATCAATCAGAAGCAATGTAGATGGCATTGAGAGGCATGTGCAAGGCACCGTGTGGATTGTGAAGGAACTTATCTTAATAAATTGATTTTATACTGATCTGATATAGTCATTAATGTATTTGTATGCCTACGTGTCAAATCCCATATACATTTTTGTACAAATCATGAAGAAACTGCTTACTGCAACAAAAGCTACAAAAAATAAGGACGTTATATCTTGTGATAGAATCAGCAACGTCTAACCACTCATGACTAAAAATACTGTTGTAATCAGCAACTTCCTTTTTGTCTTGAATAATATATACAACCTGTGCTCTCCCATTAAAGCAAAAACAATATTACAAGCTACATATAAGTGTGTCTGTGGTTTATTGTCTCCCGAGTACTCGATTATTGATCAGGAACCTCTGAACCATACCTGGTGGTGATTGTCTAAAAGGGCAGTGACAGCCGCCACAGCCCTAACCCATGAGGATGCCGCTCTTGCTACGGGGTCCAGCCGGGCCGAGTAGTAAGCAATGGGTCTTTCTTTCTGTTCGTGATCTTGTGTGACCACAGTGGTGGCGGACACTGCTTGTTCTGCACAGAACATGGAAAAAGGCTTGTTTTAGTTAAGGAGACCTAATGAGGGGACAGATATAACCAAACGCTTTAACTGCTTCCTCAGCTTCAGGAGTTAACTTGAATGAGTCAGCACTTAAACAGTCATCCAAAGGCTGCATGGAGATGGCAGCAGAATGGTCTACAGCAGTGGTAGTCAACCTTTTTCCATTTACCGCCCACTAATGCATCTTTCTTGATGGAAACATTTCCTTACCGCCCACCAGTTTTCGCGCAAGTGCTGAATATTTTTTAGAAAGGAGGGTGTTTTAAAAAAATAAATAAATGTACGTACTTTTATCTTTTTATTTCTACTTTATGCATGTTTATAATGTTCTAACCATTCAAGCCATAGATTAGTATCTGAAAACCCGGTCTCCACAGCCATAGTGTCTTCAAATGTGGGATTGGCAATGGCTACCATGTATTTAAGGGTTTTAATGTGTGGTTTTAGAGGGTTAATGGTCATGTGTGTGGAGTCTACCCAGTCAGGTGACGTAAGCATGTCTTGTAAATAGAAGGTCCCCAGCTTGTTATATGAGCCACCCCCTTTCCAATATATTCCCATTACGTATTCCCCAGCGTCTCCTGGGCTGGGATGTTCTATGTTTAAGGTGAGCTTCATTGGGGTAGACCCTGTTGGCTTGCATAAGGTCATTCTGTATAACAAAGGTTTCCCATATCTGTCAATCCTATCTAAGGCACTTTGTGGTCTGTAGCCCCATAGTCGTCTCGTATTCCAACCCGCTGCTTTCCAGGTACTACAGTGATGTCCCCAATGGTCACTTGTCACACAAATATATGGGTCCTTTTTGTTTGGTATGTCTTTGTATATTGCTGAGTGTTGTGATTGTGGAAAAGTACAAGAGACAATATCACAGTAATCAAAGGTGAAAGTAGGTACGTGTGTGTTTGAAGAATTATACCAGAATGTGTAAACATGATTGTCTTTGGTAATAGCAACTTGTTGGGCCTTCGATAAGCCTAGCAGCAGAAATAGGCCTGTTTTCCGCGGAATCTGCTTCCTCTGTATCAGGAACTTTCTTGAAGTGCGAGGCGTGTATCCAGGTATTCTTCCCGGCCAACTTTACACAGGTAGATGTAGTCAATAGGACTTGGAATGGACCATCAAACCTTGGCTCAAGAGTGTGTTTTCTTATGAACTTCTTGACCATGACCCAGTCACCAGGAAGTAGCTTATGTGTGCCTGTATTTGACTCTGGATCTGGAATAGAAGAAAACACCTGTGCATGGAATTTGGTCAAGGCATGATAGAGTGCAGTTATATAATCTACCATTGCATCTGACTGAATTTGAAGTTGCTGAGGAAAATAACAGCCTAACCTGGGTGCTGCTCCAAATAAGATTTCGTAGGGGGATAAGCTAAACCTCCCTCTTGGGGTGTACCTTACACTAAACAATGCTATGGGAAGACTCTCCGGCCAGGGTAGGTTAGTTTCTTGGGACATTTTAAGCATTCTGGCTTTCAGAGTGCCATTCATGCATTCTACTTTACCACTACTCTGTGGGTGACAGGATGTGTGGAATGCAAGGGTCACCCCCAGTGCTGCCCAGATCTCCTTGGTTAGCAGTGCGGTGAAGGATGTACCCTGGTCACTTTCGATTACTTCAGGAACTCCGTATCTGCAGATGATTTCGGTAAGTAGGTGCTTTGCTGTGGTCTTTGCAGTGAGATTAGCGACCGGAAAAGCTTCTGGCCATTTTGAAAACATATCCACTATGACCAGTGCATATTCATACCGGCCACTCTTTGGCATTTAGATATGATCAATTTGGATCCTCTGGAAAGGGTACTGTGGTTTGGCCAAATGGTTTGGTGCTGCTTTAATTATTTTCCCTGGATTACATCTGGCTCGGATGGTGCAGGATCTGCAGTAATTTCATGTCAAGGTGGTGATTCCGGGTGCTTCAAAATATTTATCAATCAAAGAGTTCATGAGATGCTTAGATAAATGAGTTGGTCCATGGGCCCACTGAATGACAGCTGGATACATATTCTTGGGTAGACAGAATTTGAGGTTGATTGTGTATACTTCATTCTGGAGGGTTGCTCCTTTGACTTTTCAGCTTTGTTTTTCTTGAGGGGTGGCGGCGGCCTGTTGTTTTCTTAGAAGCTTGAGATCGGTGGGTAGGGTTCGCATAGTGTAAATAGGAGTCTTTTCGACGGACACTCTTCTGTTCACTTCCCGACACTGGCGTGCCGCATCCTTAGCGGCCTGGTCGGCTAAATGGTTGCCATGTGCTTCTTCTGAATTTAGTCTCTCGTGGGCCTTTACCTCTTCAGGAAGAAGTAAGGCATCCATCAATTCTTTGATAGCTGTGCCATGTTTAACAGGAGTACCTGTTGCTGTAAGGAACCCCCTGGTTTTCCAGATTAACCCAAAGTCATGTTCCACGCCCAGGGCATACATTGAGTCTGTATAAATATTAACACGCTTCCCTTCAGACATCTTGCATGCCACCGTAAGGGCTATTAGTTCGGCTTCTTGTGCTGACTTAGATGATGGGAGTGAAGATGCTTGGAGTATTTGGTCAGGACCTGGGGTGTTCCTGAACCACAGGGTGCAATGTAAGTAGCTTTTCTACTTGAAGTTCCATGTGAACGTCAGGATTTATGTCCAGGCTGTACCAGTATTGCGGCACTCCCCCCTTGGGAAGTGGCAGAAGAGTGGCCGAATTCAAGGAGTAACATCTTTGTAAAGTAACATTATCAGGCAAGAGGAGGGAGGTTTGAAGGCGGAGATGTCTCTAAGATGAGAGATGTTTTGGCTGGACCTGATTCAGGATTGCAGCGATATCATGGGGAGCAAGAACCATCAGTTTATGTCCGAGAACAAAAGTCATTAGTTTTGTCCAGCAGGGCACTGGCAGCAAAAACAGCATGCAAACAGGAAGGACCACCCCTGGCCACGGGGTCTAGCATGCAGGAAAAGTACCCAAAAGGGCGCTGACGGGAACCGTGGGATTGAGTAAGGACCCCTGAAGCACGGCTCATCTTCTCTGAGACGAAAAGTTTGAACGGTAGCTGGTAGTTAGGTAGGCCCAAAGCAGGGGCGGAGGAGATGGCTCTTTGAAGGGCATGGTAACAGGTGCGGGCTGTTCAGGACAATGAAAAAGGTTCAGTCTTCAAAGCATCGTAGAGAGGTTGCATGAGTTGAGAAGCCTCAGGGATCCAAGACCTGCAGTATGTGATGAGGCTCAAGAAGGCATGAAGAGCCTGATGGTTAGACGGAAGGGAGAGATTTGTAATGGCAAGTACCCTGTTCCTTGTTAGGGGAAAGGCAATGTCCCAAGAAGCCCACAGAGGGCCAGCACCACTGGAGTTTCGTCTTGGAGGCTTTACAAACTTCTTCAGCGAGGAAACAAAGGAGATCTTCGGAATTCTGTTCAGCAGTTGAAAAATTATCCGCACAGAGAAGTAAATCATCTACATACTGGAGCAAGACCACGTCTGGGTAGGACTTCTGCCAGGGTTCTAGGACAGCTGACATAGCTTTGGCAAATTGGGTTGGGGAATAGAGATGTCCCGAACAGTTCGCTGGCGAATAGTTCCCGGCGAACATCGCATGTTCGCGTTCGCCGCGGCGGGCGAACATATGCGATGTTCGGTCCGCCCCCTATTCCATATCATTGAGTAAACTTTGACAACCCCCCCACCCGCTCGGGGGGTGGGGGTTGTCAAAGTTTACTCAATGATATGGGGGGGAGACCTACTGTTCTCCCCCTGGCCCCCACCCCTGAGCGGTGGGTGGGGGCCCTAAAAAAAACAATAGGGGGGTAAATTCTGTTCCCCCCCCGGCCCCCACCCCTGAGTGGTGGGTGGGGGCCCTAAATACTAAGAAGGGGGGGACCTAAGGTCCTCCCCCCTGGCTCCCACCCCTGAGCAGCGGGTGGGGGCCCTAAATACTAAAAAGGGGGGGACCTAAGGTCCTCCCCCCTGGCCCCCACCCCTGAGCGGCGGGTGGGGGCCCTAAATACTAAAAAGGGGGGGACCTAATGTCCTCCCTCCCGGCCCCCACCCCTGAGCGGTGGGTGGGGGCAAATAAATCACAATGGGGGGGGCCTAAGGTCCTCCCCCCTGGCCCCCACCCCTGAGCGGCGGGTGGGGGCCCTAAATACTAAAAAGGGGGGGGACCTAATGTCCTCCCCCCTGGCCCCCACCCCTGAGTGGCGGGTGGGGGCCCTAAATACTAAAAAAGGGGGGGGGACCTAAGGGGGAAAATTCCAAATGAAGAGACTGACAGGAAAGTCACTTTGGTTGGTTACTTTCACATTGGTTACTTTCAATCCACCAATCAGAGTGTTATGAGTCAAATTACACAGTGTGGGAAAATTCCAAAGAACTTTCCCACGCTGTGTAAAATGACACAGAGCACTCTGATTGGTGGATTTCAAACCAACCAATCAGAGTGCTGTGACAGGTAAATGTAGAGACTGACAGGTAAGTCTCTAC